CCTCCTCCATCCTCGGGCCCCGACACCTGACTGTTCAGCACTTTGGGCTGTCCTCCTGATGTGAAAGGCACTCTATAAATGTAGTTTTGTTGTTGTTGTTATGTATAGGTAAAAACCTCCAAATGTGAAACATATGGATAAATGTTTTAAATATTTAGGTCATGCAAGGAGATTAAATGTTTCAAATGTATAATAGTGGTCAGACACAGACAAGTAGGGCTGAATGGCCTCTTTTCGTGCTGTACCACTCTACGTAACTCGAATTGCAGTGCTTTTCACGAAAATTACATTTTACATGTTGTTCATACAATATGGGATTCTTTGCGATAGCAGGAGGCTTTGGCCTGCTGACACAGCTGTTTCAAAAATTGGGAGCAATATCATTCACGAAAGCCCATGGGATATAAGGTTACAGCTAAGCAATAATAACAAAAGCAGGAAACAGATCAGCAAACTTTGGAGTCTACACGGTCCCCAGGGGAACTCGTTTGCCAACTGCAGATGTTGATGGTTTTGAACTGAACGTATGAATGCAACTTCCCCAATCCAATTTTCTTCCCGATTATATATGACTGTGCAAAGTCTTCTCTTTAATCCACAGCAAAAACAAATCCAAGCTAACTACAATTTTGCAGTTTAATAACAAACTAAACATTCACCACAAACTGAAACAGAATACCTCCCTTTCCAATGAGGGAAACAAGTTTGTTTTTACTTTTGATATTTTTAAAGGAAATCTTTACTGTTAAGTATAACCAGAGAAGGCTGAGGTAAAGTCTGAAATCATATTATGCAATCGTTTCAGATTTCTAGCTCCCTTTGCATGGATGGCGGTGCTGGTAAAATATCAAAGATCTAAGGAAAACATTCCTGTCACTAGTTACATCAGTGAGTTTTTCAGAAGAAATTTGTTTTTCTTTCCAGTCGATGTTTTTACTGGATTTGAATTTCAGCAGAAAAATTTATAGCGAAGGAGTTGTTTTTAGTTTTGTTTTTTTCCTCTCCTTCCCTGAAGACGCAGAATCACGTTGAGACATGGTTTCACAGGCACTGGCCTCCTCCCTGATATCTTTGTTAAGTGGCCATTCCTCGTGCGATACTAGACATAAGGTGCTCAACCCTGAGGTGGTATGTTTTCATGTGGGGGCTGAACTTGGTCCTGTCCTTATGAGACATCTGCATTTCTCTGGGGGGGAGGGGAAGGGAGTTAGCCGAGTGTCTGACACATACAGAAACCCATCACCAAGCTTAAGAGTATCCAAACCAAACTGAGAATTCCATGCATCCCATCTGCACATAGAAATTCAAGAGATAGATTGTCGGAATGGAATGTCACTCTCTCCCTGGAGGGGCGCATCCTGTTCACCTAATTCCGGAAAGTAATAGGCAGAGGTTGCCAAGAGCCAAGGCTTGGGGACCCCAGAGTGTGCGTTGGAGTACTGCCAGTGCTGGAATCTAACCAGCTAAAACTGCATAGCTTGCCATTGATAGCACTGTTTGGCAAGCTTTTCCCGAGTTTCACCAGAGAGGACCACCCTACCAGTTGGGACTGTGGTTTGCAGAGTTAACAGGAGCTTTGTGGGAGGATTCCCTGGCCCCAGTGATTGGTCCACCCCTCTAAATCCTGCCAATGGGCCAGGCCATCTGTGCTGTCATCATCAATGCCCTGGAATACTACGGACCCGCCTGGCTCAGGAACCAGACTATCGAGACTGCCACAGAGGGCTGGCTCGATTCCGATATTCCATTGCCAAATATGTCAACTTGGAGCCAATTCAACTTGGAGACCCCACTTACCTCCCCCCACCAACCCCCCACCCATCCCTCCCCCACCCCCCACCGAGGAGGAGAGTCATTAATTTGTTGTTTGACATCTGACATGTGCGAGTTTGAGCACTCAGTAGGTGGATGAAACATCTGTACATATGCATTTTCCAGCAGGACTCACTACATAGTGTTCAGGGGCAGACACATTGCCACTTTTTTTCCCAGCTCGCCTCCCTCTGCTCAGGGTCACAGAGGTCACTCACCAATGCTCTGGGTGAAATCACTTAACTCAGCACAGATTATGGAGTGAAACTGGCTAATTTACATACAGACAATGGTTTTACCAACAGATCTATTGGGAAAGACAATTCCTGTGGACCAAAGGACCTCTAATAAGTCTAAATTCAATTCTAAGATGTCATCAATGGCTGCAGGTTTCTTCACCATCAATAGGAATGTACATTGTACCAGGCACAGACTTAATCAAATATTTATCAGAATTGATTCAAAAAAAACATATAACCACAACAACAACTTGCATTTATGTAGCCCCCTTCATGTGGGGCAGTATCTCAAACATATGTTTCATAGCATTTTTAAGTTTTGGCAAACGGGGCAATTGGCAGTTAGAGCAGCAAAGTTTGCATATAAACAAATAGAGGCCCTTCATTCATGGAGGCTCTCACAGAATGGTGTCATCCCAAAATACAGACACATTCTGGAATGTGGCCGGCATCATGAATTACAGGACTCTTTATCAAAAGAAACTCATGGATTTACAATAATGCTTCAGGATTGGGAATATAAACAAAACGCAACTTGGCACATTTTCACTGATACACAGCAGGCAAAGTCACACTGGGCCACATTTATTTATAGAGTGCATGACTTTTACAACTTAAGAAAGAATGAAGAGAAACAAGGCCATTTGTTATAAAGGCCTTCACCCTTGCTACTTCCAAGAAAGCCAAACATAACTTGGACTGTATGGACTCTCCTCAATTTATCCTCTTCCGAGAGAATGAAAAACAACTGCTCTTTCTCCATGAACACAAACAACAACAACAACTTGCATTTATATAGCACTACTCATGCAGGGTAGCGTCCCAGAGTGCTTGACAGTGGTGGAGCATGACCAGTGGGAGGGGTTCGTGACCGTAGGCACGGTCGAAGAGGAAGGTCTTCAGGCACGATCTGAAGATGGGGAAGGACGGAGCAAGACGGAGGGATAAAGGAAGAGTGTTCCAGAGTTTCCAGACATCGTGGCTGAAAGCCGGGTTGCCAATCATGAGGGACATGGAGAAGACCACAGCCAGTTGAGCAGAGGCAGCAGATTGTGCTTGGAGGTTAAGCAGGTTGGAGAGGTGGGGGGGTTTACCAGGGCATGAAGGGATTTGAAAACTAGTGCGAGGATCTTGAAATTGATCCATTCGGTGATAGGGAACCAGTGGAGCCTGGCTAGAACTGGTGTGATGGGGGTACAGAGTTTAGTGGGGTCGCACTACGGTGGATAAGGGAGGAGAGGTGGTGGATGAGGATGGGGTGGTCGACTGTGTTAAACGCATTGGAGAGGTCCAGGAGGATGAGGAGGCAGAGGCAGCCCTTGTCAAAGAGAGAGAGGGCATTGTTTGTGACCTTGACAAGCGCCATCTCTGTGCTATGGGGAAAGCGGAAACCAGACTGGCGGAGCTCGAGGAGCAAGTCGAGAGGAGGGAGACGTGTGAGCAAAGCTGGTTAGCGACAACATGTTCCAGAAGTACACAGCAAGTTACAGCACAGAAACAGGCAATTCTGTCCAAATAGTCTGTTTTAGTATAAATGCAGGTGAGGGAAAATATTATCCAATTCTCTGGATATGTGAAACTGGTCATTTTGCTTTCCCAGATAAATGCTCCCATTGTGCCTATGGGACTGATTTATCAGAAATGCTGTCCTTTGAATGAAATGTTAAACCAAGGTCCTGCTGTTCAGGTGGATGTTAAAGATCCCACGGTCAATACTGGTGTCACTTCCTTTGCGTACATGCAGTAAGCACCGCCGACAACAACAACTTGCATTTATAGTGCATCTTTCAGGTAGGGCAACATCTCGAAGAGCTGGGAGAGGAAATCAGGAGGCGTGGAGGCTGGTGTAAAGTATAACACTAATACAGACTAGTTGGACAGAATTGTCTGTTTCTGTGCTGTAACTTTCTATGCACTTCTATGTGATACGTTGACAGCCAAAGAAGGGAAGGCACTGTACTGGTCCGGGTGTTAGATAATGAACCAGAACAAGCAAGTGACCTAGTGGTTGGAAAACAGTTGAGAGAAAGTTATCATAACACAATTAGGTGCACTGGCACAATCTGTGGGCATTTTCACCTCCTGGAATTGTCAGGAATCGGCTGCTTTAAAATTCTTGTTGTGTAACAGCGCCATATCAGGCTCTGCTTAATATATTAGGTGTTTATCTTTTTTTTAATGTTAGATTTTATTAAAACTAAAACATGTTTTTTTTTAAGCTTGCGACACATTTAAGTCCCTGCATTAGTCTTGTGTGTAAAAGTGGGATGAGAGACACTTTGCGGGTGCAACAACATCCCTTGAACAGAGCAAGCCTTATAATTGGAAAATGGAGAAGGTGGAGGTTCAGGGCTATTGACAAGCTATCTACTTAAAGCTGTGAATTTAACTGGAGGTAAACTTTTTACTGAAACACCTCTGGAGAGGAAATCATTTTACTCTTTTTTAGTCAGCCGGGTATCTGATACATGCGGAAACCCATCATCGTACTTAAGAGAATCCAAACCAAACTGAGAATTCAATGCATCCCACATGGAAATCCCTAAGATAGATTGTTGGAATGGAATGCGCACTCTCTCTGGACGCATTCTGCTTACCTAAAGCATTACACAACTCTGTTACTTACAGGTACAAAACTTTTATGAGCTGGGCTTAAGAAGATGCAATAATCTGTTCTCAAAACTAATTTACAAGCCGTTTTTGCATGATACTCTAAATTGTAATATTAGCTATGGAATCTCCAGATACACGCCATTTATTCTTAATAAAGAAATACGCCGATTGCATCGGATTCTATCCCATGTTATCTGCACCTTGAACTAAATTCTAACACCAGCTAACACCAAAGTAGTTTTTTTTAATACAAGGCATCTTCATTCCTTTAAAAGACCAATTCTGCAAGTCTCCACATTGCAAACTTCAGTCAGAATGGTGGTGATTGCTACTCACCAAACCTCTTGTAACCCATTGAATGCACCTCCTCTTCTTCACCGTAGTCATCTGCTAGAAGAAAATAATTCAGTCAGTGGAACATAAAGTATTGTGGCATTACAACAACAACTTGCATTTATATAGCACCTTTCACATAGGATAAAGGAGTACTTCATGATGATGGATTGGATGCTGAGAGGGGAGGGAGGAAGAGGCAGGTCGAAGAGGTAGATTTTGAGGTAGGACTGAAAGCCAGATAATATTAATAATAATCCTTACATTTGATATAGCGTTTTTCACATCTTCTAGACGTCTCAAAGCACTTCACAGAATATACTGTAAAGTGAATTGACTATATTTTGTGGGCGAAATGCAGCAGCCAATTGTGCACAGCAGTATCCTACAAACAGTCATGGACTGAAGTGACCAAATTATTTTTTTTGTTGAGGGATTATTATTAGGCATGAGGAGTAAGGAAACTTGCCCAAGGTTTCGCCTTGCCGGGAATCAAACCCAGTTCTATCACTTTCAAGGCGAGTACTCTAACCACTGAGCTACAAGACTCCACAAATAGTGAGGGGCCAAGACAGAAGAATAGAAGGAGGGAGTTTCAGAGATTAGTGGCGCAGAGTTACTCACAGAAGGTGTGGGATGGATAGCAGATCTGAAGTAGCTGAGCAGAGGGGGCAAACAGAATGGTGTATGAAAAGGTCACGCTGATTAGCAAACAAGGACAGAACAGAACAAAGAACTGGACTCCTACCTGTAGTCTACATAAAGCTGCTAATGAGATAAGTTACCTCTCCGAGCAGTAGGATCAGTAGTTCAGTAGTGCAAGTTCTGTTCATTTGCGCAAATTATTATTTCAAAAATAGTCCTTATCTCAACACCAGAATTAAAATTTAAGTGAATGGATTTGACTTTTCCAATGTATTATATTTTAGAGATATCATATAACCACATGTCTTTTCACTAACAGGCAGATATTGTTTAAACATGTCAGTATCAATTCATACTTGACGGACAAATTGACTTGAGACTTGACTTTAACAGATCTCTTCGGCTTTTTGCTGTTAAAACAGATTTTTAAATTTGTGCAGAATCTACTTACTACTGCTAGAGTGGTGCCACTCTGATGATAAAAACTGGAGATAAAGTGAAGTAGGATTATTAATTCTGAAGTGGTTATGTAAGAGAATCATAAATGTTAACCATGTACTGTGTAAATTTGGTTTCTAGTGAAACAAGTAATTTGTCTTCACATTAAAAATTACATTTTATTTTCTCCAAATGTCTCTGATTCAAAAGCAATACATTAACAAACATCATCACACTTAAATCAGCTCTACCTTTCTTAGCAGTGAAGGAAATATGCATCGGACACCAGACTCAATTCTGTAGGTGGATCATTCTGCAGAGAGCTGTGTTGTTGGGTTCATATCTCAGAAGTAACTAAAGTTTGGTACATAAGACAGCCTGTGCAACTTTCTATCAACTTAGCTTCAGTGGAACATTTAGAAAATACTGTATAAACTTTGACACTGCACAAAGATACCTTATTCCAATTCTAATGCATAGATAGACTCTTGCAGATTAAAAAAATGGACAAACGAGAATCTAACTAGAGGTTAATATTCAGCGATACAATACAGGAACCATAGAAATTTACAGCACAGAAGAAGGCCATTCGGCCCATCATGCCTGTGCTGGCTCGTTCAAAGAGCAATCCTTTCAGTCCCATTTATCTGCCCTTTTCCCAAATAAACATTATAATGTGCTTCACTCTAACACAGGTTCAATTACAACTTGGTTGAGACATGGGCCTCAATATTTACTGACTGCAAAACTCCATAATTTGGGCAGAAGCCCAGATGTTCACTTTAATAAGCCGGCCAGCATCTCACATGGTAAAAATGGCTGACTACCAGATCACCTCCGACATCACTTACACATGAAGTAATGTTGGTGATGACCTCATACCCTGGAAGTCAGCCATTTTGGCTTCAGCGCTAAAACAAAATCTATCGTCTGGCACAGCAGGTCGCTACCAACATCACTTGCTGTACACTGTGCACGCGAATTAATAATGATCTAGAAGTCGGCCATTTTTAGCCTGGGAAGCAGCCAACGCACAGAAAGCTTCTTGCACGTGTGCCGTGAGTGCAAAAGTCTGATGGTTGATCGAGACCTGTGTAGGAGGGCGTGGGTCACTTCCGGAAAACAAAACTTGCACCACAAGTTTTAATAATAAAAAGAAAGGTTTATTTTCGCCCACAAAATGTATAGTCAATTCACTTTACAGACGTCGCAAAGACGTGATAAGTATTATAACAAATGCGAGGACTATTATTTTATTATTTATAGTTTTGATAAGGAAGATCTACCTTTTTTTACAACAATCTTTACCAGACTCTCTTCACCTCTCTTGTACCCAGGTATATACTGGTGCTAATTAGCCTGTTACTGGTTCCCAAATAGCACTTAGGGTTGGAACTCAAAACAAGTTCCTTTACACATGACACCTATAACTGTAGAAAGCAGGAGCAGGGTTTGTAGTCCTGTCACAACCTGTCACACCACTGGTTGGGAACGTATGTATCCTAACCACTGCGTTATAACGGGGCTCTATTGGTGATCACTGGATGGATGTAAGTCCGACTGATCCATGAGAATGCTGGTATCCGAAAGTAGATTGTGTTGGAGCAGAGTTTCTGCGGATCAACTTGATGCACTTCTGGTTACCGCCAAAGATGACTAGATTACTCAAAGTCACTGTCATCAATTTCTGTTAAAGATCTCAATGTTTGTTACAAGTGAAGTTAATAGTTATCCAAGATAAATTCTGTACAGCTATACACATCCACTATTCACAGAACCCATCTCATTCCACCACTCTTACAACGTGAGTTTATCTTTTTCTCAAAATTACAATGAGTTGGTATCGAGATAATGCTGGGATTGTAAACAATTCTGTTTAGAGTTAAACACTGGCAATCTTGATAGAGGCAATCTGCCAACATGTTTGTGTCCACATTTCAGTCACAGAACCTTGAACTATCATTGTAACATCAAAGCTTCCCCTCTGATAATGCAGGGATTGTAAACAAAAAAAACAATAGCTTTTTTTTTACACAAACACACATTAATTTGACATAATGAGATAATGGGGGTGAAAGCAGCTCTAACTCAACGTATGAATGATCACATAGAATCTGTTAAGAGACGTTGCAATCTTCACCCATAATTGTAATGATAAACTAAGTCTAAGCAGGAATTTCTAAAACAGTATAATTCTTGGCGAGCAGTATTAAACGGAGAAGAAACATGAATAGTGCATGCTTCCACTTAAGAGCAGAAGGAATCTAATCCATCGATGTGTTCCTTGCCATCTTTCCAATAAGAACTGCTGGATTATCACTCGATAGGATTTTCTGTGAAGTCTGGATATTCCATTTATGGGAAAGGAGGTTGTAAGCTGCCAAATAACTTTACAACTGGGACTAGTACCGCTGGCACCTAATTACTACCAGATGGTTTCTTTAAAAAGTAAATGAAAGGACATTGCACAAAACCCAAGGCCAAAATTCCTGTTTTCTAAATGTGGAGCAAACAGCATCACTTGGAGGCATTAGGGATCCCGAGGCTTAAGGGCTCGGATTCATAAATGACAATAATAAAAAAAGATTGGGAACGTTTGTAAATAAAAAAATCTTACACATTCACCACTTCCCTCCCTTCCTGCCTCCCCCAAAGTAAAGAGAAGCACCACAAGGAGCATCGAAGCCAGTACTCACTCACTCACTCACTCACTCACTCACTCACTGATTCACTCACTGTGTATCACCACTGCAACATTAAAAGGCCAATCAATGGTCCATACAGTATTTCCATCCATGTCAGTAATGATCCAGTCGGTCACTTGCTTAATATCAATTGCATGTAAGCCATTCCTGCTGTGTTTGCACAAATGAAACCACAGCAAAAAAAGAACCCCTCCATCAATTCTTTGAAATGTGCTAAGCTTCCTTTTGCATTCCTGATTTTGTTTCTTTCTTTTTTAAAAAAAATAGTCGTTCGGACGAATGAAGGGATATAACGGCTGGAAAACGCATTCGCGGTGAGGGTAGGAAATCCTTTACATTTCCCAGATGCAACGTGCAAAGTAACAAACGGGAATGGATTCGCGATGGACCTACCTTTCATTCTGGAGGCGAAGACAATGCTCATTTTAAAGAAGAACAACAAAAAAAGAGGGGAGAAAATCCGATGCAAGAAGGGAAGGGGAAAAAAACCCTAAAGAGCGACTCTTGGTTTCTTTACTTTATTTCAGTTGCTGTTCTCTTTAACTCCTCTTTCATCTCAGAACTTTGCACAAAAACTCAAATTTCCATCTACAACTGCCAGACAGCTTTTTCTGATCTCAAACACGACTGAGTTCCTTTGGGGGGGGGGGGGTGGGGGTGGGGGGAATTTTTTCTTCTTCTACTTCTTCTTCTCCTTCCAACGATTGCAAGCAAAATCTAAATGAGAAAAGTGTGCAACTGAGACCCAAGTGCTGTCTCAGCTGCAGTTTGTTTTGTACAGTATTGAGCAGAGGCAGTCAATGGGAACTGGTTATATCTTCGATCCTTGCGTCTCTCTCTCTCTCTCTCTCTCTCTCTCTCGGGTTGCAAACTGCAATAAGCAAAAGTGTCAGGATCTTTAAAGAGTTTATGTTCAGCGTTTTCTCTGCCGGCTGCGATCAGACCACAAAAATGTCAAACGCAAAAAGGACGTCCTCAGCCTCCAACCTCCCCTTCAGCACGTGTTTTCATCATCTGCCTCCTCTGGCTCTGAAAACTTGGTTAAAGTGGGGTTTTACATGCAAACCTCCCGGACCTCTCATCCCAGCAGATCTCTGAGCCCCAGGTAACTCTTTCTGCACTCCAAGCGAATGGCAGCCAATGATGTGCTCCCGGTCTCCTTACACGCCGGGAGAGGATTCAATGAAACCAGAGCAATGCAATCTGGTGTTCATGTGCTTTCAACGTGGAAAATGTCACACGAGCTTTTCAAGGGCTCCCAATTCCTGGTAAAACCAAAAAAAAAAAACTTTCAACTCATCCGCATTTCATTCGAGTCACACGAACTTCTGACGTGTGTTTCCACCTGGCTTTGTGCAGGCTGACAGGGTGGTCCCTATTCTTCTGGGTGGTCCCTTTCCCTTTGCTGCTGTCTCCAAGTGCCAGCTGTACACCTGACTGGGTACCACCTTTAGCTCCCCACCCCCCCCTTCCCAGTTGTTGCAACAACCACGAATTGCTCTCTTTCCCTTCTCAGCCCTTGGCTAAACTCAGATGCTGTTTCTGCACGAGTTTGTGGAAGTAGATCCAGGCACTGTGTGGCTTTGTGACAGGTAGGAAGATCACGGTGGTGTTAGTTGATGCTCATCCGGATTCCTGGTCTTTTGGTGGAGAAGTTTTTTTGATGCACAGAATTACCCAAACCGTCTATTCACTAAATGCCTGGCTCAGGTCTGGGCGTGGGAGGGGGGGGGGGGGGGGGGAGGGGGCTGGAGTCAACAACAACAATATACCTTTACATGATATAACACCTTTCATATTGGGAGGACATCTGAAAGTGCTTTACACAACTAACTGGGCACCTGAAGTGGGGAGGGGAGTGGAAGAGAAGTTGAACAAAAGTGCAGTCTTGGCAATGGTTTAGAAATGAACAAGGATGAGAAACAAGGATAGGTTATGAGTGGTCTGTGAAAGAAGTACCCAATGACTGAATGATCAACCTTACTTTAAAAGTTGTCAGTGGAAGATTCCTGCCAGTGAGATGAGAAGCAACTTTTTAGACCAAAGAGTTGTTAGATGTATCATTCTGGAAAAGCTAACAGTAGACCTCGGGCAGTTTTATGTTCTGACCTGAACAATAGTCCCATAGAATAGAAAAGTGTGAAGCTTTGACTCCAATGGTGTCTAAAAATTCAGTATTTAGAACGTCTAGTGTCAGATGTTTGGTCACAAGATCGTAAGAGAGCTTTAGATGATGCATTTTATTTCATCCTTCAACCCAATTTATGTCATCCTTCTAGAAACCCAACCCTAGTGTTGTAAGACTATAGCATTGAATTGTTTCTTAAGTAAGTCCAGGCTCCTAACTGTTTCCCCTTGTAACCCATTTAAGCTGTTATATACTTGCTGTAAGGAATATAACTCTGGTTTTGTCCTAAAATTGTTCTCCCCTCCAAACTTGGAGGCCATGAACAACCCCAGGCTCCTATTTTCCATCACAAACCGGCTCCTCCGCCCATCCTCTCATGCCTCACCCATCCTTTCCCTAATGCCAACTACAAGGCAATGCTGCACTTCCTCGAAACTAAAGTTGAGAAGATCCGTTCAAATGCCTCTGCCCTTCTGTCTAGTACCCCTTCCCCATCTCCCCCTCACACTCGGTCCCTACCCATCCCTCCATCCACATCTTCAAACCTGTCTCTCATTCCTCTCTCACCACCACTATAACCCGCATGAAACCAACCACCTGCTCCCTTGACCCCATCTCTACCCCTCTTGTTACCTCCCAGCTCCATCTCCTTGCCCCTCTACTCACAGACATCATAAACCTCTTCCTGTCTGCTGGCACTGTTCCCACCCCTTTAAAAATGGCCACCATCATCCCTATCCTTAAAAAAAACCTCCCTGGACCCATCCCTGCTCTCAAACTACGATTCTTTTCTAAGGTCCTTGAACGAGTTGTTGCTTCCCAACTTTGCTACTTCCTCTCCCACCACTCCACAAACCCCTCCAATTGGGTTTTCATGCCTCCCACTGCAACAGCTTTGGTCAAAGTGACAAATGACATTTTGTCCATCTGCAACCAGGCCTCCCTCTGTTTCCTTATCCTCCTTGACCTCTCTACTGCCTTCGATAGAGTTGACAACTCTATCCTCCTCCCCTGCCTCTCCTCTGTCCTCAACCTTCATGGTTCTCTGTCCTTAAATGGTTCCCATCGTACCTCTCATACTGTTTCCACTTCATCTCCACAAACAGTTTCTCCTCTAGCCCCCGCACCATCTTGTGCGTCATTCCTGATTAGTTTCTGTCAGCGCCTCCACACCTCAGGCGCTGACAGCATCACCATCTAAGGATGCACACTCCACCTCACTGAGCTAGTCCAGATCCTTGGCGTCTTGTTTGACCCTCAACTCTTGTTTCTACCCCACATCCATGCCATGACTCGGTCTGTCTTCCCCCAGAGTCCATCTCATAGTCCCTCCGCCTCGCCCCTTCCCTTGTCTCCCTCAATGCCCATCTCAAGACCTTCCTCTTTGACTGTGCCTTCGATGACCACCTTTGATTTTGGAAACTCCCTCCTCATCGGCCTTTCCAACTCTTCCCTTCACAAGCTGGAGATGATCCAAAACTCTGCAGCTCGTGTACTCTCGCGCACCAGGCTCCGTGACCCCATCACTCCCACCCTCACCCAACTCCACTGGCTCCCCATCCCCCAGAGGATTGAGTTCAAGATCCTTGTCCTCATTTTCAAGGCCATCCATAGCCTTGCCCCCTCCTACCTCTCTGACCTGCTGACTCCCTCCGTTCAGCGGGCTCCTGTCTGCTCCATGTCTCCCGCCCGAACCGCCCTACCATCAGTGGCCGGGCTTTCAGCCTCTCTGCCCCCACACTCTGGAACTCCATCCCACGGTCCCTTCACCTCCCTTCCTTCCTTGCATTCTTCAAGGCCGGTCTCAAGACCCTTCTCTTTGATTGTGCCTTTGGTCGCCCTCCCACCTCTCTGCCTTCCCTCAACCCTACACCACCCCTCCCCCATGCTCGGGCCTGACACCTGACTCTTCAGCACTTTGGGACTTCCTCCCGACATGAAAGGCTCTCTATAAATGTAATTTTGTAGTTGTTGTTGTCCCCCCCTGCCCTCCACCCTCCCCGATTGTAACCCCCAGCTTGGGCCTGAAACACTGATTGTCCAGCACCTTGGGATGTCCTCCTGATGTGAAAGGCACTATACAAATGTAATTTTGTTGTGGTTGTTGCCCTCTTGTCCTGCTGTCCTAGTGACTATCCTACTGAGGGGATGGTGGGGGGAGGGGAGGGGTTAGTGGAGGTTAGCCTGGTCTTCTTGGAGCTGAATTACCTCTCCAAAGTGACATGCCTGGCAATGGAACGTTGGAATCAAGCTAGCCCTCTGTGGTGGTCTTGGTAGTCCAGTTCCTGAGCCGGGCGGATCCGTAGTATTCCAGGGCACTGCTGATGACAGCTCATCAGCAGAGTCAGGAATGGCAGACCAATCACTGGGAGTAGGGAGTCATCCCACTCAGCTCCTGTTAAACTGGCAAGCCAAAGCCCAAATGGGAAGGGTGGTCCTAGCTGGACAAGCAGCGAGAAAGGTTGCCAGATAGCAATATCAATGGCAAGCTATGCGGTTTTAGCTGGTTAGATTCCAGCTGTACCACAACACACACTCAGGTGTCCCCAAGCCTTGGGTCTTGCCAACCAGTACCACATACTTCCGGAATTAGGTAAGTAGGATCCATCCCTCCAGGGAGAGAGTGTGCATACCATTCCAACAATCTATCTCTGGGATTTCCATGTGTAGATGGAATGCATGGAAATCTTAGCTTGATTTGGATACTCTTAAGCATGGTGATGGGTTTCCGCATGTGTCAAACTGACCAAAAAACAATTAAAAAATTGTCCTCCTGCCGTGGTGTACCTGAAAGCATTATTCTGAGTTTATTTATCTGGAGTCTAACTCATTCCGAGTCATTCCATAATCTTGCTGTTTTGTTTAACCCTGCCACTCCACCCCCGAACTCTGTTTGAAATCCCATATCAATGTCCTTGTCTCCTAACATCTCCAGAACAGTGCTTGCTTATGTCTCTATCTCACTTCCAAAACAGCTGAAATCCATGATTTTATCACCTCAGAACTATATTTCTCTAATGTTCCCCTCATCAGCCTCATTAGCTCAACTCTCCATTGTTCCAACTCTTTCAAAATGCCACAACCCATATTTTTTTCTGTACTACACCACTCAATACCCCATCCTCATTAGGCTTCACTGGCTCCCACAGTACCCCAGTGAACTGACTTAACAATAATAAAAAAAATCTGCAGGAACCAGGGCAAAAAGCCAGAAACAATCATTTCCATATTTCTCAGGAATGTGGACATCTTTATATAGGTATACCTAGAACTGTGATTGTGCTTGCAGATACGGGAGTGCAACTACACACAACCAGTGACTTGATGATCCCAAACTGTCTACAAATACTCATTGTTCCTTTTACAAAGGCAATGAAAAGAATGAAGATCGAAGTACCAATCATTGATAATGTTTTCTCCTCAGCAGATACCAACCAAGTTTGCAATGCGCACTTTTTCCAGCAGCCAAGGTAGTGATATTTGAGCTGCGTTTTTGGAGTGAGCTTTTTCCTGTTCCTAGCATTTCCAAAATCTACCGATCCCTTGCCAATACAGCAACAACAGTCCCTTCGCTTCACAGCTTTAAATTTCAAGTTAAAGTTGGCAGAAAACCCGATTAGAAAAACTTTCGAGTCAGTTTGGCTAATTTTGTAAGGCTCTTGTCTCTGGAAGAGACTTTGAAAAAAGGGTGAGTTCAGGCACCACACTGGGATTTGAGCCTTATAGTGTAATTTGATAGTCCACTTCAGGATGTCCAAATCCTCCTGCAATCAGTCATTTTGAAGATCTCTTAAGAATATCTTAAGCGTGTGCAGGTTTAATGCAGCCTGTACTGTTTTTGAGTGGATGGGTCTATGGCTATTTGTACGTTCTCATGGTTATTTGGTGCCTTAACTTGATGCCTCATTTTACATTTTCAAATTTGTGTCCATGAGACATACAAACAACTTTGGGTGCTTTATTAAATCAAACATGGC